AGCTGCGGCGGGGGCCTGGCTGACTGCAGCGTGGGAAGCAGGAAGGAGTCCCTGCTTCCCCAACAACAAGAGTCCAGGAGCTCCAAGCAGGAGGTAGGAAGCAGGTCAGTGTGTCTGTGTGTGACTGTCTGTGTGAGTGTGTGACTGTGTGACTGTGTGACTGTCTGTGTGTGACTCTCTGCCTGTGTGTGTGTGTGTGACTGTCTGTCTGTGTGTGTGACTGCCTGTGTGTGCATGACTGTCTGCCTGTGTGTGACTGTCTGTGTGTGTGTATGTGTGTGACTGTCTGCCTGTGTGTGTGAGTGTGTGGCTGTCTGCCTGTCTTTGTATGTGTGGGTGTTTGCCTCGGTATCAGTGACTGTCTGCCGGTGTGTGTGTGTGTGTGTGTGTGACTGTCTGTGAGTGTGTGACTGTCTGTGTGAGTGTGTGACTGTGTGACTGTCTGTGTGTGACTGTCTGTTTATGTGTGACAGTCTTCCTGTGTGTGTGTGACAGTCTGCCTGTGTGTGCGTGACTGTCTGCCTGTGTGTGACTGTCTGTGTGTGTGTGTGTGTGACTGTCTGCCTGTGTGTGTGAGTGTGTGGCTGTCTGCCTGTCTTTGTATGTGTGGGTGTTTGCCTCGGTGTCAGTGACTGCCGGTGTGTGTTTGTGTGTGTGGCTGTCTGCCTGGGTGTCAGTGACTGTCTGCCTCTGTGTGTGTGTGTGTGCGTGCGCGCATCTGCTAGTGAGGGAGCCTCTGTGTGTGTGTGTGCCTGCTAGTGAGTTTGTGTGTGTGTGTGTGTGTGTGTGCCTGCTAGTGAGTGAGCTTGTATGTGTGTCAGTGAGCTTGTCTGTAGGGATCATATGTGTGTGTGTGTTAGTGAGCTTGTCTGTAAGGAGCATGGGTGTGTCGGAGCCTGTCTGTGGTGAGCATGTGTGTACAGTGAGCTTGTCTGTAGTAAGCATGAGTGTGATTGTGAGCTTGTCTGTAGTGACCATATGTGTGTCAGTGAGCTTGTCTGTAGTGAGCATGTGTGTGTCAGTGAGCTGTCTGTAGTGAATCTGTGTGTTAGTGAGCTCTTCTGTAGGGAGCGTGTGTGTCAATGGGCTTGTCTGTAGGGAGAGTGTGTGCGCATCAGTGAGCTTGTCTGTAGTGAGCGTGTGTGTGTGACAGTGAGCTTGTCTATAGTAAGCTTGTGTGTGTATCAGAGTTTGTCTGTACTAAAGTTGTGTGTGTGCCAGTAACCTTGTCTGTGTGTGTCATTGTCTGTCAATGAGCCTATTTGTGTGCATCAGTTAGATTGTCTGTTTGTGTGTGAGTATGCTTTACTGTATAATTTAATTACCATAAAATAACTAATGTTTTGAATTAGAAGAAGAAATGTATCAATAAAAAAAAAAAAAAGTGTGTGTGTATATATATATATATATACTGCTGCATCACCAGGGCTCCAGTATCCAGTATATATATAGGCAATTGAAATAGTTGGCTGCACTCTTGGATTTCCTTAAAATTTTACTTTTATTGAAATATTTAAGAGAAGATCAACGTTTCAGTCCCTCTTGTGGACTTGCATCAGGATCATGACGAAAGTCCACAAGAGGGACTGAAACATTGATCTTCTCTTAAATATTTCAATAAAAGTTACATGGTACATGTCACCGAGAGCCCAACACCCCACCACATCATTCTGTGGCCTCTCACCCCTCAGCCCAACGCACAGATAGAGCCTCTAAAGCTGCTTGGCACCTAGCAGGGCCTCACATGTAACCAATGTACTGAATTTTTTCATTGCTTGGTATTAGTTAGTAAGCCAGTAAACTAATGCCGTTCTAATTTTTTTTTTTTTTTTGTAAAACGTTTTAATTGTTTTTTTTGTAGCATATTTCTCCAGAGTTGGGAAAAGATTTTTCACTTCCTAGGCTGGTACCCCTTCAAGGAGACAAGAGTCATCAAGTTCACGCTCCATTAGACCATGGACTAGTCCAAAGATCACTGCAGAGTTGATCTACAGCCAGGAAAGCAGAACTGTTTAGGCTCATGAAGTACAATACTGAGAATGCTGATAATTCCGTTGAGGGGTCCTATAGACTGTAAGCCCGTTTGAGCAGGGCCCTCTTCAACCTATCGTTCCTGTAAATTTTCTTGTAATTGTCCTATTTATAGTTAAATCCCCCCTCTCATAATATTGTAAAGCGCTACGGAATCTGAATATTAATAATAGTATGGCAAAATTACATGCCCTTTGTCCTTTTATCTAATGTCCTAGTAACTATTGACTAACAACAGATTTGAGTGCCTGGAATCAGCCCATTTTGGCTATTTGGAGATTTGTCTGTGATCTTAAAAGTAAGGGATCCTAGGATTAGTAAGGAACTTGCTTTATCAGATTTTTATTTTTTTGGGCTTTTGACGTTTATATGGACGTTGTTTGTTCAAGCTTTCCACATCGTATGAAAGAGTTCAACCTTTAGTTGAACAAGTTGGTGGACCTAGGGCACAAATATGAGTGCTCTGCATTCTTGATTACCATTGCTTCTTTTTCAGCTAAGATGGTGGCAGCTTTTGCTCGCTTTAACTTGAAAACTGACTGACTGGAGCCTGTTAGGACACCAGTTTGTGCATTCTGACACAAGACCAAAATAAAAATCAAGGGAATTAAAAGATAAACTAGGCAGTCCTATTGATTTCTTTGGTAAAGCACAGATTTTTTATAATATTAATGTGGTTTTAGTGTCTGTAGACCATTGCATGTTTGCTCAGTATGCTTCAGGGCAGACCCTAAGTCAATGTGTGCAAATATAATGTATCCTAAGCAATACTTAACATCTCTAAAAATTGATGTTCTGACTTAGCTATTGTCTACTCATCCATCACCTCTGTTAGCAGAATTCCTAATCACCGGGTTCACCCAAGGTTTTCACACCGGTATACTTTCCTTACCAACAGGCATCCTATAATGTAATCATCTTCAAACTGCATTGAAGGTGTGACAAATACTCCTTTCCACAAACGTTTGCCACGGACTCCTGGAGGAGTGTGGAAGCCAGTCTCCTGCCCACCGACTATGGTCCAGGTCTGGAACACCGTTTGGGAGTTACCCTGCCCAGCCGCCATTAGCAGCTTGCCCTGGGTGCCCTTGGTTTGGCACTTTCCCTTCATGCCAATGGAGCCGAACGCTAGCTCTCTGGCGGCCGTTCTCATGAACCAAACCCACGAATAGTCCTCAGCAGTACCGCGACCGCTATGAAACTAATTTCAGTATGAGGACTTCGTGGGTTCTCAGTCACCTCAGTGGGACTTTAATGGAATTGTTTTCGACATGAGGTGACTGTGCGATTCCCGGACAACTTGGTTTGTGGTTTTGAACCACTTTAAAATCCACCAGGAGGGGCGTGGCTAGCTGAGCAGCAAACTAGACATGCTTATGTGGAGCTCCTGCTTCAATCACCTAAAACTGACCCAAAACGCCACGAAAACACAGATCTGGGACCCAAAATCCAAGCTGTAACAAGCGCTTAAACCACCAACAGAGAGATGGGATGGAAAAATAAGAAAACCACCCGCACAGAGAACTCCTACCAGCCTGATATCAGGTGATCCTTTGCAAGGCCGCAGCAGCCACCACAGCCCAAAATGGCGCCAGGTAGGCCCCAAAGCGCCAGCGATTCCGACGCATCTGTTGTGGACAGAAGCATTAACCTAATTCATGTTAGTAAAATGTCTATTTACTCAATATAACTACAATCAGCATTATTCAACTTTTATGTGATTATCTAAAATGGCCGCTAGGGAGTTTCCCCTCTAACACTGACTAACTACCTCGTGTAACAAGATGGCACTGGAATCTGGGGGAGACCCTCATGATGCCAGTGACATCACCCTCCGTAGGCAGAGCATTAAAAGAACCACTTAACACCTAACCAATTATTGATGTATTATTTCATGTTATCTCTGACAATGCATATGATGTAATTCTGCTTTAAAAGGGACTTGCCGTCCCCCCTGAATAAACATTCCTAAGTTTTTCATTAACCAGAAACTTGTGTCCGGTGTGAAATTACTTCAGGAGCGTGCACGCACTTCTTCTTCAATTTGGCCAGGGGCAGATACACAAGATAATCAATTTATTGATTGATTTCCATATCATTTGGCGCCCAACGTGGGACACCGGGTTTCGCCGGTTCGGACAACCGGAAACCGGGGCCGAAGCGGACCTCCGGAAAGTAGGGCAACCGGAGCCTGATCACCTCCTAATACAGCGGTTTGCCTGTATTCTCCTGTTTTGTGTCGGTCTGTCTCCGTGTCCACTTCCGGCTTCCAGAAGGCTACAAGACAGGTAATCTCTTATCCGGTGCCTTTTTAATAAACCTGTCGATTGTCTATCTGCCTCCTGAAAGAATATAACTGTGTATGCATGTGTGTGTGTGTGTGTAACAGCGGGCAGGGAACCCATTTATTGTACCCTTATTGTACCCTTAGCTTAAATGCCTAGCAGGCAGGGAACGCATTTATTGTACCCTTATTATACCCTTATTGTACCCTTAGCTTGACTGCCTAGTGGGCAGGGAACACATTTATTGTACCCTTATTGTACCCTTAGCTTGACTGCCTAGCGGGCAGGGAACGCATTTATTGTACCCTTAGCTTGACTGCCTAGCGGGCAGGGAACGCGACCACCTGGTAAGAGGCTGGGATTTTCTGTTGACCACCCAGAGAAGGGTTGGGGTTTTGTTGTCCGCCCAGTGAAGGGCTGGGAATAGCCTAGAGAGAGGCTGAGAATTGTGTTGTACTGCTCAGAGTGGAGCAGAGGTTATTTGTTGTTCGAGTATTGCTATGTCCACACCTTTGTTGTCCCTCATTATACTCAGTTTTCTGTTCAGTTGTGGTCATATCGTGGGCACCCTCATTGCGGGTGTGTGTCTTGTGTGGTTCGTACTTGATTCCGGATTATGTGCACATCTTCATATTTGTGTTTTTTGTAAGTGTTTATTGATTAGTCTCTCCACGTTCATCTTCTCTCTAATTCTCTATCTCTCCTGTACTTGTTGCCCAGAGCTGTGTTAGTCACCCACACTCGCCCGTACTGATCCGTGGCCACCATCTCGGGTGGTCGGATCCCGTGACTAGTCTACGTTTTGGGAAGACGCACAGGGATTGATTCCTCGTGGCAGTCGAGCACTGTAGACATTCCTTCTTCTTCTTCTCCCTATCTCTGTCCTTTCTACGGGGAGAACCTTGTTTATTGAAAATGGGACAGGAATATGCTAGACCTTCGAAGGGTCTCTTAGCCTGTGACATTGTTAAAGAAAGAGCAGGAGAGGAAGCTATGTTAAAGATGAAGAAACTAGCAAAGGTTTGTGGCTTCCAGATGTCACCTAGTGGTAGACTACAACCAGAGTTTTGGAGGAAATTACTTGTTGATAAAGAAGGTGTATTGTTAGAACATGGATTGACAAAAGCAGTAGAAGCTTGGTACCGTGTTGCAAGAGGTCTTAAACGAGAGGGATGGTCAGAAGAGGAAATTGATTTTGAAGGACAAACAATATTTGTGTATCACAGAAATGTTTGTAATGGTGATGATACGTCCGCTGTTGTTCCCCGGCCCCCGCCCTATGATGGCGTCCAGAATGTCACGAGTGAACCATGCCCTGCCTCCCCAGACACCACTCCGTCTCCACCCCCTGTGGTTAAAGAGCCTCCTGTTCCCACGCCGCTGTACCCCGTCCTAGGAGCGGACGGATCTTACTATTATCCCTTCCCTCTCCCATCACCACCAGCCATAGCATCTACCGCCTCTACTTCATCCTCACCCTCAGACCCTTCTCCCGTTGATGTTCCCTCACCTCTACTATCGCAGAATGCCGCAGAAGTTACCCCCTTACCATCATCACCATTCCCCATCCCTTCCCCTGATGCCATTACTTCCGTACCACCCACAGCAGTGACTCCGACTGTTTCAATCCCCGTTCCCACGCCCCCAGTATGCACAGTTCTTTCCGAGACTACCCTGGCTCCCCTTCCTGTGAGTCCCTCTGCCCTGATCTCCTCATCACTACCGCCCCCATCGCCATTTCCCAGGATGTCTCCCTGCCCAAACGTTGCTCCTACCACTCCTATCCCGACTTCCCCACTCCCTGCGGTCCCTCCAATTCCTATCCCGGATTCCTCTCCCTCACCCATCCCAAGTTCTTTCTCTCCTCCCTCAGTTGACCTCACATCCCTGGTCTCAACCCTTGTCACTGCCCTCTCTTCTCCTTATCCATCCCCTCCAACTCCTCCCGCTCCTATTCCAGAACCTTCCATACCTCCCACAGTCTCCGCCCTGTTGACCTCACCCCCTTAATCTCAGCCCTTACTCCTACCTCCCCAGCTCCTCCCACTTCCACCCCAGAATCTTTGCCACCTACATCCTCACACCCTTATGATTCCTCCTCCCTGGTCTCCACCCTGATAAACACACTCACACCTACTCAGACATTTCCTCCCTCGTCTAAACTCTCGCTACTCTCTCCGGTTCCATTCCCCATTCTTCATTCCCTCCTACTCCTCCCCCCCCCGTTCCAGAATCTTCTACTTCACCCTCCAAGTCTCCTCCCCCTACCCTGTCATCTCTCGTCTCCGCCCTCACTGCTACCCTTGCTGCCAATGCCACTTCTGATCGCCCACACATCTGTATTCCTTCTACTCCAATAACAAATCCCTCCTCTTCCCTTCAAGACTTTCCGTCCCTTGTCTCTACCCTTACCTCTCTGCTTATCCCTAACTCCACCCTCCACAGTTCCCTTGGCGGAGCCTCCTCCTCATCCTCCCTCTCCTCCCTCTGATGTTAATGCACTCATCTCTACCCTCCTGGCTTCGTTTACCGCTCCGTCTATTTTTCCTCCCCCTCCACCACCTTCTCCGCAACCCGTTCCTATTGCTTCAGTTTCAGATCCTTCTACCTCTTTTGTCTCCCACTCTGGCGTTTCTACCAACGATCTTGCATCGCTTATCTCCTCCCTCTCCAACCACCTGTCCCAACTTACCCAACCCACACCCTCCTCCGCTTTGGTTCCTGTCTCTACCCCCCCGACAATTGCTCCCAGCTATCCACTAATGATTGTTGGAACAAATGAGTCTGTCACGTCAGGACAACCCCAGGCTGCTGATGCCTCCCCTGCTGCCTCAGGTTTCCACCCCATTACATCTCAATTAGTCACCCCCCAAACTGTCGCAGTTGGCTCTGATACCCCTTTGGCTCCGGTTCCCAACTCACTCGAGGTTGTCAGCTATCATGGTCTTCCGGTCCCATCAGGGGACGATAATGTGCCAGAACTCAGCCCATTCAGTCCCTCCAATAATAGACCAACCCAAAGACCGACTATTACAGCCACTCACCTTCCCACTCCATCAGCTGTGGAAGGGGCCCTGCCGATGTATGTAATGTTCAATCCATCCCAAGCTGCGACTCTGGTCACTTCCCTCACTGACCCAAAAAAAACAACCCATGCCCTTTTTCCGGAGAATTGCTCAGATTCGTAAAAAGTACTTTGCCGCCCGGCGTGATTTGTATAGTTTGTGTGAAATAAAGGCTGGGGACGCTTATTGGCCAATCATGGAAAGGAGTTTTAATGATGCTGTACTTACAACTGACACAGATTTTCAGTCAGGTATTGTTTTCTGTGAACAGCTCAGAGTCTGGGCACAGGATAAGCTAGCTGACCAGGCAACTTGCATAAATGATATCGTACAAGATAAACTTGAGTCTGTGGAGAAATATCACTCACGATTAACCCAGACATTCTCTGATCTTGGGTTCAGCGTATATAACAAAGCGCACACTCAGATGTTGTCAGCAGCCTTCGTGGCTGGTCTTAAAGAATCTATTAGGAAAGGTTTAATACTTGCACGCCCGGAATACAGAATTATTCCTTTAGACACTCTCTTCTTGGTAGCAAAGGGCCTCGAATCAGCCTTACAAGCGACACCTAAAAAGAGTAACCCTCTCATGTTATCTGCCCCTGGTCCCTCTACCAGACCCAACTCGTGACCTCCGAGACATCCCACATCAGCTATGATGCTTGGTCCACCAGGACAAACCGCAGTACCTAGACCTCCGGCCAGGGTTTGCTTTAATTGTAACTCACCAGATCATCTCCGTAGGGATTGTCCACAACAACGGGTATATCGCCCACCACCTAATAGACCCCCTTTACATCCCTATGCACACTCAGCCACACATGGGAACCCACATCAGGGCTACCCTTCACAAGTGCATCCACAGTCGAATGCCTCATACTATCCCCCGCAGGATTAGAACCAAACTACTTATCAGTCCAATCAATTTAATGTACATCCTCCCGCAGACAACTATGAGTCTCACGATTATCAACAAACTGATGGTCCAGCATACCGTCCTGCACGTCAACCTCACCAAACTAGTCACCCTACCACACGTCATTACACTGGTCCCGACCAATCCCATTTAGATCTAGTACAATAGGTAACAGGCAAACCTGTGTCTGACACCCCTGTTATGGCAGTGTCTGCAGGGGATAAAGGGGGACCCCTACCGTAGTAGTACCAGTTGAAGGTCATCCCACTACCTTTTTAGTTGACACAGGTGCAGCCCGCAGCGTTCTCCGAGAACAAGACCTGCCAGATCCTTATTTCCTGTCTGCTCTTGATGTATCTTGTGTGGGTGTTGATGGTACTCCAAGAAATAACCCATTAACAAAACTTTTGCGAGTTGGTTCTAACATCCTCTCTCGGTTTGTTGTCTCTTCCACCTGTCCAATTAACCTCTTAGGTGCCGATGTTCTGTCACGCCTCCAGGCTTCTATTTCTTTCACTGCAGATGGTCAGGTTCAATTACTTACCCCTCTTTCTTGCAGAGATACTTCTGCTCTTTGCTCTCTGCCCTTACTTATGCACATGACTTCCCCTGCCAAGGAAACAAGGGTCCCCGATGCCCCCAGTGCGCTAGATTCCATCCCAACCAAATTATGGTCTACAGGCCCTGATGATATTGTCCGTCTTCGGGTCCCACCGGTGGTAGTTACACTCATCCAAGGGGCTACCCCTCCGAGACACCCGCAATACCCCCTGAAGCATGCACAAGCTCTCGCTATTTCCAAGCAAGTTGAAAGCCTAATCGCAAAGGGAGCCTTAGTCAAATGTGTTTCTCAGTGCAATACTCCCTTGTTTCCTGTAAAGAAAAAGACTGAAAAGGGCCAACCAGATCAATATCGCATGGTCCAGGATCTCCGTGCTGTTAATGAGGTTAAGAAACGGGATACATCTGTTGTTCCAAATCCACATACATTGTTGTCCCAAGTGCCCTCAACCGCTAAGTTCTTCACAGTGGTTGATCTCGCAAATGCCTTCTTCAGCGTACCTCTGGATCCCTCTTGTCAATATTTATTTGCCTTCACGCATGACCGTCAGCAATACACATGGACTGTTATGCCTCAATGTGCACAGAATTCTCCAACGCAATTTGCCAAAGCAATGTCCACTGTACTTGAACCTTGGCAGAAATCTCACCCAGATGTGGTCCTGCTCCAATATGTCGATGATCTACTACTCTGTGCAGATGATTTTCCAACAGCTGAACATCTGTCTGTGGATCTTCTCTGTTTCCTCGCAGAAGAAGGTTGTAAAGCCTCTAAAGCTAAACTCCAGTGGTGCCGGCCCATAGTGGTCTTCTTGGGACATTGTCTTTGCCATGGCACCCGCCACCTGACGAGAGACAGAGTTCGTGCTATCACCAATCTTCCCCTTCCCTCTACTCACCAGGCCCTCCTGCTTTCTTGGGCCTCATCACATACTGCAGATCATGGATTCCTGAAGCCTCCCAACTCATGCAGCCTCTCTACGATGCTTTGAAGACTGAACCTTTTGATTTGTCTCCATCTGCCTGTGATTGTTACCTTGCTCTACAAAAAGCAATCTCTTCAGCCCCTGCTCTGGGCCTTCCTAACTACGAATTGCCATTTAAACTGTTTGTCTCTGAGAAGATGGGCCATGCTTCCGGGGTCCTTACTCATAGGGTACTTTTCCTGCATGCTTGACCCCGTAGCCAGAGGGGGTCCTTCCTGTTTGCGTGCTGTTTTTGCTGCAAGTGCCCTCCTAGACAAAACTAATGATTTTGTTCTTGGCCACAAACTAACTGTTCTGGCCCCTCATGACATTGCCGCCATCCTGAACCAAGTCCAACCGAAACATCTCTCCTGTCAGCGACACCTTCGTCTTCAAACTTCTCTTCTCCTACCAGAAAATGTTACCCTACAACGATGCTACACTCTGAAACCGGCCACTCTTCTGCCCCTTCCCAAGGGGGAGTTTCACAATACTGGTACAGTT